TATTTGCCATAAGTTGTGAAAAGTTCAGCAATTTTTACAACTTATCTAAATATTTATCTCAACCAGAAGAATAAGAGAAGAATATGAAATTTATCGGAATTTATGATTTCTCACAAAATTGGATAGAAATTTTCGTTTTCTTGTAATTATTCCCATACCAATATTTATACCCTAGAACACTATGTGTTGGGGGTATTATAAGTATGACTGGGCCAAAAATTATGTAACACCTCGAAATATTGATTTCCCACAGAGGAAAGTATATATGGATCTTCCTATCTCGCCGAGCTGAGTCGATCTAGCTATGTATGTCCGTCCGTCCGTCTGTCCATGTTAATTTGTAATCACTCTACTGGTCGCAATTATGGCCCGATCTTCACGAAATTTAGAATGAAGGTGGGGATTGGGCCAGAATAGAACCCTATTTCTTTTGGAGACGATCGCATAATAACTAGGGGTTGAAATGGACCAAAAACTGAAAAATTTCTTAATTTTGTAGCTGCTCTAAAGGTCGCAATTATGGACCAATCGAAACAGATGTTAGCATGGAGCTAGAGCTTAGGGATGGCTAGAAGTCATCCAATTTTGATGATCATCGGGTAATATTTAGTGGGTGAAATAGATCATAACATTTGTGTTAAAAAAGGTCAAATTTTCCATTAAACCGCGAATATTTTTAATCCCGACGAAATCACAAATAGACGAACGGGTCAATTCTGACCGTTACGTCGATGCCGATAATAAATATATCGGATACAATTTGTATATACAAAGGAGGGGGATGTTACAAATTTTGCAAATTCAGAATGCCCTCTTGGCTTAAAAGCATAAAATCTAAAAAAAATCGCATAAAAATGCCAGTTGTGATGTTAATATATATTTTGTAGTATTTTGTGTCATTTTTTTATTTTTTCATATTTTTTATCGCATGCGATTTTTTCAATTTGACTTATAATATTGAAGTATACAGTTTGTAATATTTTTTCAGTTTACAACACAGGTTGGGATTATTATATGCAGATTGAAAGTAGCGTCCGATCCTCACTAAAATTTTCACAAGGCTAGGGTTAAGCTAGGCCTATTGTTTTCAAAGATATCCGCAATATATTTAGGGGTTGAAATAGACCAACAACTAAAAATGTCCCTGATTTTGCAGCCGTTATAAAGGTACAAATAGAAACTAAAGGACACGAAGTCTCGCATGAACTTAGAGTTTAGGACAGCGGGAAGAATTGACCACTACTTTTGTGTGAAAAAATACCAACATTACTTAAAGATGATATCCGAAATACACAAATATGCTGATTTCGTTAACGAAATCTTGCTTGGAGATGATCACAAAATATTTAGAGGTTCAAATGAACCAAAAAACAGAAAAAATTTCCTGATCACATAATTGAAACCAATCAACACGCCTGCACAAAAAGTTAAGGACAGGGAAGAATTCTTGCATTTTGGATGACCATTGGATTATATTAAATAAAATGGACCACTACAACCAACAGCACAACGAAGTGCGTAAATATTGGGCAAATGTCCCAGGTCAAAATGCTAAGGGTAATATCTAGGCAGTGCTCTTCGACATAATTTCAAAAGCGATAAAGCTTCTTATATATAATAGTGTTGTAGGGTATCACATGGTCGGTCCCGCACGACTATAGCCTTTGCTTACTTGTTTTACAATGAGTCTAAATGTTGAATAATTATAATTCTTGCAACATGGGAAACAAACCAGCGATTTTTCTCCAACTTTCCACCAACCATATTTCTTATGTAAATGTGGGTCCAATCAATTAATTTGAATAACAATTACTGACATAAGGTGGAGGTATTTATGTTAGCCTTAAATCAGGGGTAAAAATGATCAATATCGGCCCACTCCTCAGGTATCATCTCCAAATGGATCAACATTTTGAATACTCATAACGCAAGTCCGAAGATTTTTACAGAAACGGCTGAAGTCCGAAGACCTGAAGGCAAAGCCGACCAATACTTGCTTTAAATGAGATCATGTTAAGGATAAAAGGAACTCCTTGTGTGGATTTTCAGACGATTCCATTTAAAAATGTGGCCACAATCATCAAAATACCGCATCTCGGCAGGTACCGTTATATGGGGGTTATAAGAAGTCAAGGGCCTGCATGACCAATTTTCTGTCATAGACGTTAGTACCTCATAGGCACTTCAAATACGAATTTTTAAATAATTCCGATTAAAAGTGTCGCTAATATCAACCACAAACCGAAAATCGGGAAGTATCGTTATAGGTGGGCAATACGAAGATGTACACTTGTATAGAAAAATTTCCGTTATAGGTTGAAGCACCCATTACGATCCTCAAATACGAAATTTAAACGAATTCCGGTGAATACTTCCACTAAAATCGTTCAAAATGCCGAAAAAGGGGGGTTCCATTATATGGGGGCTATACAATATCGTGGACCTATATAGACAATTCTATTTCAGGGAGTAGAGTACTTATAAAGAACTCCTTGTGTGGAAGTTCAGATAATTCCATTGAAAAATAAGGCTAAAATCATCAAAATACCCAATATCGATGGTACCGTTTTATGGGGACTAAACGATTCCGTGGACCGATCCTCTATTCAAAAATATATACAGGGTGAGATGAAAAAACTGCGACCAACATCAGACTGCTGTCATTTCTAAGCCACTCGTCCGACAGTTGTTAAAATTATTCCAGTAACAGCTCATTATTCGTGATGGAATTCAGGCGTGATAGAGTGATTTCTTTATATTTGGCTGGAAAATCACAAGTGGCTATCGTTAGAGCACTCAAGCATATAAATGTGATTAAATCTTTTATGACTCGTACCATCGCAGTGGCTGAAAAATAGTTCGTGAGATGAACATATCGCAATATTCCATTCGACAAATATTTAAAATGAGCTCGGGGTAAAGACATTGAAATTCCAAAAAGTGCAAGAACTTACACCGCAACAGAAAGAAAATAGACTCAAAAGAGCTAAAGAGTTGCTTCGCTTGGCCGAAAGTGGTGAACTGCCGAATTTGGTTTTCTCCGATGAGAAAACATTCGTTGTTTAGCAGTTTGTAAACAAACGAAATGATCGTGTTTACTTGCCAAAGAGGTCAGCTGAAAATTTGCACCTTCGGTTGAACACCACAACCCAAGCGTGTGGGCCGCCATGACAGCCGATGGTGGCTCTCCGCTCGTTTTAATCGACCGTGGCGTCAGAATAAATGTCGAGTATTATCGCGAAAATATTCTGGAGGGTGTATTAAAGCCTTGGGCACGCAAACATTTTGGCGTCAGACCTTAGACATTCCAACAGGACTCAACACCATCGCACTCAGCACGCGCCACCCAAAAATGGTCACAAAATCAGGTTCCTCGCTTCATTTCCAGCGCACAATGGCCACCAAAATATCCATTGTGTCTATAGTATTTTGGAAAGCAAGGTTGGCACTAAAAAATACCAAAGTATCGATTACTTCTAGCAAGCGCTTCGAATGGGCCAAAATACCGCAGAGCAACATTTGTGCCAAAGGTGACAAATTCGAACAAATCTAAACTTATTCTAAAATTTGATGCTATACCCGACATTTTTTGCTTTCATTCAGTAAAAAAAAATTTGAAAAATTGGGGTGTTTGACTTTGTTGTAGTTGTTTTTTTTTTTCTCCATATATACTTCGTTAGTTCTAAAATTATTAAACATATCCTCCATACTATGTATGGCGGAAGATACAAAAACATGGATATTAAATCAAACTTAATACTCTTCAATGCCAATCTTAGGACGGATTCAATGCAGGGTATCGCTCCACTCCGTCCGATGAATCCTAACCATACGTCTATATAAATTAAGGGTCTAGTTCCCACATCTGTTTTTGAACTAAATACATTATAGCGGTCAACTTCTTTTAATTCATCTCTCCCCATAAAAATTATAAATCCTAAAAGATAAATAAATTTGAAGTGGTATTTTTGCAAATCAAATCTTTACTCATTTTATTGGAAGAAAAGCCAATGGATTCACTCTGGGCCACTGTTCCTCAATGCGTATAATTGCATAGATTTGTGTCATTCGATGTGCGTGACAGAGAGTGTGCCATATTAAGCCTATATATAGGTAGCTATGTAAGGAGGCAATCATTAACTACCACTGCCCTGCAACTTAGCCGGGGTACTCAGATTACCAAAAGGACTTATTTCGATTTCGAAGTATAGATTAAAGCAAAAAAAAAAAAAAAAAAAAAAAACGACCTCGTGGTATTCTTTCCCTGAACTTTAAACAAATTATGGGGAACCCCTTCTCCGTTTCTCCGATTAATGTAGGCCATTTACAAATTGTTTGACAAATAAAAAAAGCCCAGTAAGGGGAGATGGGAGCTTAAGGTCGTTCCACTTCAGCATGGGGGAATAGGAATAAAATTGAAGGGTTTTAGAATTGAAACTTTTCTCCACAACTTTCTCCTTTTGATAATTTAAATATATTATTTCAATTGAGTTTGGTGTAATTTTCTTTCGTTGTTGCGGTAATGTTGTTTTATTAACACAGTAATTTCCATGTTTGTTTCTTTTTGTTGTCGTTGTTGTAGTTTCTTTTTTGTATATTTTTGTTTGGTTTGATTCTTGTGTGTAATTTTCTGTATCTATAGCACCGAATATAACAATATTTTTTCTTTTGCTTTTTCACTTGGAAATTTTCTTTTGGAGAGGAGGTGGTGTTCGTTGGTGGTGGTGGTGGCAGTGATGGGTGGGTTGGTTGGTGTTTTCTTTCACTGCTAGGTGTATGTTTGAACGTGTGTTGGCTGGTTGATTTCGTTGTTGTTTTTTTTTTCTCCCGTTACATATTCCGTATAGTTTTTCCTTCACATGTTTGTATGTATGTACAATAATATATATATATAGATGTATTATTTTTTATTCTTTTATGGAACTATGTATGGGAATTATTAAAAATACATGTACGTTTGTATGTTTGTTTGTTTGCTGTACATATATGTATGTATATACCTTTTATTTTATTTGATTGTTGTTACTGTTGTAATTTGTAGTAGTAGTTGTTGGTTGGTTTATTTTTTTTTTCTTGTTGTTTGGTGTTTTGTTGTTGGTATATATTTTTTAATATATTTTTTATTTTGTTTTTTACATATATATTAATTTGTTTAAGATATATAGAATTAATTTGGTGGGTTTAATAAGAATGATAAGAATAAATATTTGAATATTTTGTTGTTGTTGTTGTAATTGAAGCACCAATTTTGTTTCGGATTTTCGGTTTTTTTTCTTCTTCCTTTTCTCAGTATTATGTATGTATATTTTTGATGTGGAAAAATGCAATTTTTATTTTTCTGCTTTTCTAAACTTCCTTTCGCTTGTTACTCTTTTAACCGGAGAAAACGTATACAGGATTTTCTTGGTCGTTCAGTTTGGAAATTTTCACAATTTTTTCCTTTTTTTTTTTCTTGGGTTAGGATTTTATTTTCAATTTTTTTTACTAAATATTTTTTAAATGGTTATTCTTTTTTTTTCTTGGTTTGCTTCTTCTCTATCTATACGAGGTGTATATGTAGGCAGGCATATCTCTATATGTATATCTAACTAGATATATATGTATGTATGTAGTTATGTAGACATATATATAGAATTTTTATTCAATTTTCCCGTTTTCTTCTTGGCAATTCGAAAAACTTCTGCTCTTCCATAAGATAATAATATATTTCTTTGCGAATGATTTAAATACACAACATATACAAAAAACTAGTGATTTTCTTTGTGGAAAAAATATGATGAACAGAACAGAAGTGTGTTTCTTTTTTTGACATCAACCCAATTGTGCGGCACTTTCTTTTTTTTTTGTTTTTTGAGTTATGTGGCCAAGTTTTGTCGGCTGTTTTTATTTTGTAACACCGTTTTCCAACTAACTACCCTTAAGTACTGATTTCATGGCTCTGTGGCGTATGCTTGTTATACCCAAAAACTTTTCCTTACAAATGTGGGAAATAAAGCGCCGCCGCTTGTCTCTCTTTTGCTATAGAGTGGTGAATTTTATTCAGCACACACACACACTCACCCACATGGGATTTGTCGAAATTGTAATCAATGAAATCAAACCTTTTATTTCTTTGGTTTGTATTCCACTGCGCACACTCCAACCATCCTTATCATTAGCTCTTTGTAGCACATACACGCTCTCCCTCTCTCTCTCTCTCTCTCTTTCGCTGTCGCTTATCCTTCACATCATGTTGCTTGTGAGTACATGTGTTGTTGGAATTCAATACTACTAGTATTTTTCCCAATTTACATTCCATTACTATACCCTCATCCATGATTGATACTGGAAGTGCACACACACAAAAAGTAAACAGACCCCCCGAAAACGCCAACAAACTAATTGACATTTGGTACGTGAGAGCTGTCATAAATGGTGAAATGTCAAAGGGGGTAAGACGACGTGACATATGTTTTCAGTGGGGATTCGATTAGTAATGTGTACGAAATTTTGGGGAGAGTGTACCAAAAAGTGTAGTATATTTTGTAGAGATGGAATAAACCGTTATAATTTACGTTTTTGAAATGGTTTTTCAAAAACAAACCGGGAAAACTTAACGGACGAGCGACTTTATGAACGATAGAGCAGGAAAAATGAAGATGATTTTTGCAAAATTTTATCGAGAAATCAAAATTTCACCTCAAAATACCGTATATCGAGTAGTACCGTTATATTAGGGATATACGAAATTGTGAGCCTATATAGGGTGAGATAAAAAAACTGAACAAAGTCAAACGACATAATTTTTACATTTTTTTTTAAGTTTTATTGAGAATGTCGGAAATAGCATAAAATTGTAGAATAAGTTTAGATTTGTTCGTAAACACGATCAGTTTGTTTGTTTACAAACTGCTGGACAACGAATGTTTTCTCATCGAAGAACCATTTCTGCTGATGTTTGCTGTTTTCTTCCGTCCACTTCCTTGACGTCGGGCTACGCTACCAGTATCACGGAAACGAGCGATGGTACGAGACCCAAAAGATTTATTCTCATTTAAATGCTGGAGTGCTCTAACGATAGCCACTTGTGATTTTCCAGCCAAATATAAAGAAATCACACTATCACGCCTGAATTCCATCACGAATAATTTTTTTTTCTGCAAAATTCTCACCAAATTGCTTTTGTACGCTTGTAAACAATATAATGAGCAGTCACAGGAATACTTTTAAAAGCTGTCCGATGGGTTGCTGGGAAATGACAGCAGTCTGAATTTTGTTGCAGTTTCTCGTCCTATCCTGTATATAAAATGCTTCGCGACTGAAGGTATAACCCATTACGAACTACATTTTATATACAAATTTGATGAAACATGTGTCTAAAACCATCAAAATACCGAATATCTGAGTGTACCGTTATATGGGAGCTATACAATAACGTGGACCTGTATAGACAATATTCTGCTACAAGATAAAGAATCCAATATGAACTCTAAATATCGAAGTTTGAGCTATTCCGCTATAAACTATTCCGCTATAGATCATCATAGTCTGGAGGGTACATTAAGTTTGTCATTGCGTTTGTAACACCTCGAAATATACATTTTACACACCACAAAGTATATATTCCGTACGAAATTAAGTAGGTATATAAAATTATACCTGAAATGGGTCATGTAGGTCCACTTTTTGGTATAGACGCCATATATGGACGATATTCCGCCACTATAAAAAGCCTTGTCATGTCATGTGACTTATCATGTCAAAATACCGATCTAAAATGATTATTTCGATGAGTTAGAAACGGAATGACAAACTTAGTCTACCCTCCATTCTACGTGTGGTGGAAGGTAAAAAAAGTCTGATAGTCTTTGAAAAATTATTCTTGAAATGCCCACGGATATAGCTCCGATAGGAATTGAAAAGCCATTCTTATAATAGTCCCCCTCTGTCTGTCCTTAAGAAAGTTGTCTTGAATGTACACATTTATGGCTTCTGGATTTTGCAAAAAAAAACTACATAAAAGCACAGGCATAGGGCTTTGTAATTCCTTAAAAATTTAACAAGAAATCAAAGTTTATAACTCTGTTATCTACTATTTGAAGAAATATACATGAAAAACGACCAGGACAAAGCCAACCTTTTAGAACCACACCAGTATGCGTATTTAGTAGAGCTCACTTAAAAAATTTTTATATTGGGAATTTATATGAAGTAGATCATCATCAACTATGAACCAAATAATATTGCTGTATAGTGCATGGTATGACTTCGATAAGGATTATATTAGAAAATATTAATTGGAGAAATAGATATACCAGACTGAGTTTTACCAAATGGTGAAATTCGGTTAAATATGAGAAAATCTATTCAATTTGGGCTGATATTACATATATGGTAAGCAATAATCGTAAAATCGGATGAAACTGTATATCGATTGTATACAAAAATCTTAACCGATATCTTTAAAATTTGGCAGAGGTATTTTCGAGCAGTATCATGCATATGAGGGACTTTAAGCCCCCAATCGGATGTAACATATATATGGGAGCCAAAACTATATCTGAACCGATTTTCATCAATATTTGAAGCACTTGTTTCTAGTACTAATTCCGTCGGAAGTGCCAAAAAATTCAGTCCAAGTTCAGTCAAATTCAGCTGATATTAACCATTTGGTGCAGAGAAAAAAAAAAAATAAATCAAATAAAGATATATATAAATAAAGATATATCTGAACCGATCTTAACAAAATTTGATAGAGGTATTTTTGAGCTCCATAAGTTATCTGGCACCCAATGCACTTATTTCTGAGCTGTATCTGATATCTTGTACCAAAAAAATTATTGCTGTGGAGTGCATATTATGCATGTGAGGGACTTAAAACACCAAATCGGATGAAACATATATATGGGACCTATATCTGAATAGATTTTCTCCAAATTTGAAGTGCTGTTTTCTCGGTTGAATATAGTGGGAAGTGCCAAAAATTCACATCATTTGGGCCGACCCTAATATCGGAAAAATATGTAAATATGGGAGCTATATCCTTATCTGATCCGACCGTGATAAAATTTGATGGAGCTATTTTTTCATAAATTATCTGGTACCGAATATCATTTTTATGGAGTGCATATTACGCATGTGAGGAGCTTCAAACCCCAAATCAGACGAAACATTTACATATGGGAGCTATAACTATATCTAAACCGATTTTCAAATTTGATTTACTTGCTTCTAAACTCTCTTCTGTCGGATGTGGCAAAATTTAGTTCATTTGGACTGATATTTGTCATTTGATGCAAAATTAACCCCAAATCGGTTGAATGTATGTATGGGAGCAATATCTAAATTTGAACTGATTCTCGTCAATTTTAATAGGGTTCGTCTTTCGACCAAACAAATATTGTTTGGAAAATTTCATCTCAATCGGATAATAAATGTGACCTGCATTTTGTTCATAAAAATACCTGGACAGGCGGACGGACAGATGGACAGACATGTATAAATCGATCCTCAAAAGTAAGTATGGGTTTATCTCGCTTCCTTCTCCATTTTACAAACAAATGCACAAAGAAATAATACCCTTACCCCTATGTGGTGTAGGGTATGAAAATTCACGCAATGGTCCATAAATAAATATTTACGGAAAATCCTCAAATATATTGGTGAATTAGTCCCTGAAAAAAATTGTCTTGAAAAGTTCATATTCTGTTAGCACTTAACCGATAGCCCCTTGATAAGTCATTCATAAATAGGCCACACTTATTTCTCTGCAAACAAATCTTCTTTTTAACATACCCATCCAGTACCTTTTTAATTTTCCTTCCTTTCAATAAGCCGTTGTTATAAAACATTGTACTTACCATATTATAAATTCTCGTACATCCAAGATAATTACAATTTGGAATTACAATTTAATATCATCAAATAATAAATATTAATTATGTTATGAAACTCAAACACTTAACAATTCGTTGCGATCTGTGGGCGTGTAATCTTCAAGTTAATGTTAATAATTTCGTTTAAAATGTATCCAGATTACAAAACATTCAACACCTCCCATGGTGGATATCGTTGATATCGGATTACAAATAATTAAAGTGACACCTCGATTATGAAGTTTGCGTTTTAGCATTAAAATTTATTTGAAATTATAAATAATTCCATTGAAATGTAGCGCACTTATCGCTAACGCTAAGTGCTGTTCATAGTTATTTTATTTAAAATAGTTTTGATTTTCATATTGAAATATTTGATTATTTGTTGAAATTTATTCGCAGTCCAATCAACCGGCTATTCATTCATTTATGCCCGGCTACCTGCTATGTCCAGCCATCATTCCCCATCAGCAATGGGAAAATAATAATTCAATTCAATTTTGAATTTCAATTAAATTTTATTGTTATTTTATAAATACATACAAAAAAATATTTACATTTTATTTTATTATTATTAATATTACGTGTTAATTGTTTGTTCACTTTTTACATTGTAGGTTTATGTGTGTGTGTTGTGGTGTGTGTTTGAGTGCACTATTTAAAAAATACAACTATCTTTACTCGTGGCAACTAAAGGTGGCATAAAAATGTAATTTTAACTAAATACTAAAAAGAAGCATTCATAAATAATTTAATATATGTTATGTATAAATTTGTATAATTTTAATTTAATGTAGGTTTGTTCTTGTTATTTTTTTTTTTTTGTTGATTGGTTGGTATTTCGTTATAAATTCTCATTAAAACTAGCGATCTTATCTAAAGTGGGGAATGTATTTCTTTAAGTGTAAATGTATATTACAATTTTCTAGCCTGCTTTAAGATTGCATGTGGTTTGACAAGGAAGTAAAAACATTTCTTTGATACTTTGTTGATAACAAATAAATAATAATATGAAATTGTGAATAAAAAACGCCATGTAACAACAAATTTTCTTGTACTCTAATGCAATTGTTTTGGTATCAATTCACTATTTCAAATATTCGAAATCACATGGAAATGAAATATATTTCGTCATTGCGGATCCAAATACAGAATATCGGTTGGGGGCTATACGCACAATGTTTCGCCACCGGAGCTAGATCCGCGAAAAATGTGGCAAAAATCATCGAAACACCGAATATCGACAGGTACTGTTACATAGGGGCTATACCAAAACGTGAACCTACACATACATCGTTTCGCTACCGGAGCTAGAACCCAACATGGCAATTAAATTCTAGTTTTTAGAGAAATCAGTGAAAAACTGTTGCAAAAATCATCAAATTACCAAATATCGGGAGGTACCCTTGTATGGGGCTATACCTAAACATGAACCTATACATACAATGTTTCGCCACACGAGCTAGAAACAATTATGACCAAATGCCAATTTTTCGACAAATACATGAAAAAACAAGTAAGCAAAGGCTACAGTCGAGCGGGGCCGACCGTTGAATACCCTACAACACTACAATAAACGATACAGTTTATATAGGCGAGATACTCGAAAGAATTCCACAAGATATTGTGACAAATAATAAAAGAAAACCATCAGGTTTCGTTCTCTAATTTTCGATTAATAGCAACTTAAACTAATTTGCTCATTTCCCATTTAATGGTAGATGTTGCACTTAAATGGTCTTCCTAGATCTGGAACCAATATTTCCCAAAGACCTATAATCTCTCAGAAGTGGCAAAAGATTAACATTTATAATTGGTTTTTGACTGAAACGAATCTATATGAGATACAGACATTTGACTATATTCTTCAACGAAATCAGCCTTAACGAAATAGTCAGAAGTGCGTCTTTCCTGTATTTGTGAATTCTCCAAAAAGTCACTGGAATGGACATTTTCGTATTTTGTCTACAAAAGTTGGCAAACTCCTTCACACATTGAATATTTTTGGATGGCCATCCAAAACTCCTTGGCTTTTGCCATGTCCGGTAATCCTCATTCAAATGACCGTGAGGATCGGGCGATAATTACGACCTGCTGACAATTTTGCAGTTTTTTGGTCCATTTCAACCCCTAAATATAGGGCGATCATCTCCAAAAAGAGTAGGCTTCTATTCTGACCCTCATCTTATCCCCATGCAAAATTTCGTAAGGATCGGGCCATAAATGCGATCTGTATATGATGTCCTGATATCCTAACTACTTAGTTTTGTTAGCTGTAGAAATATTACCAAATGTTTATTGAAAATGAAAATATGCCAAAAATATGACAAAATTGAAAAAATATGAGAAAATATTACAAAATCAATATTTTCATCTTTAGAGAGATATTTTTATGCGATTTTTTAGACGTTTTTTCTTTCCTGCCAAGAGGCCATTCTGAATTAATGAGAACTGTCAAAATCAGTTCAGCCGTTCACGACATATATGAGATCTTTCAAGTATATCTTCTTTGATGGACATATATATCGCACATATTTTGCTATATATTCGATTTGTTGGATCTTAACATCAATGTAAAGATCAGAAGTAACCTTGTCATGGCTTTGTGATTTCGCCGGGATTTAAAATATTCGCGGTTTAATGAAAAATTTTGAATTTTTTCAACAAAAAATATATGGTCTATTTTACCCGCTAAATATTATCCGATAACCACCCAAATGGGTAGGCTTCTTGCCAGCCCTAAACTCTAGCTACATGCGAAATTCCGCTTCGATTGGTCTTTAATTGCGACCTGTATAACTTCTGCAAAATCCGACATTTTTTCAGTATTTGGTCCATTTCAACCCCTAAACATTTGGCGATCATCTCCAAAAGAAATAGGGTTCTATTCTGACATTAACCCCACCTACATTTTAAATTTCGTGAAGATCAGGCCATAATTGCGACCTGTAGAGTGATTACAAATTAACATGGACAGACGGACAGACGGACGGACGGACATACATAGCTAGATCGACTCAGCTCGGCGAGCTAGGAAGATCCATATATACTTTCCTATATGGGAAACCAATATTTCGAGGTGTTACATAAATTCTGGCCCAATCAAACTTATAATACCCCCAACACATAGTGTTGTAGGGTATAAAAATTCGCAAAAATCACCAACATACCGAATATACAATGTTTCGCCGCAGAAGCTAGAACCTGTTATAACCAACAAATACTGATTTTTAGAAAAATCCGCGAAAAAATGTGGCAAAATTAAAAAAAATACCGAATATCGGGAGGTACTGTTATATGGGGACTATACCAAAACGTGGGCCGATATATCTCATTTTCAATACCAACCATCTTTAGCACATTACAAATTCTTCTGCTAAATTTTAACATATACTTCAAGTAATGTGGGCTGTATCGTGATTTCAACAGACAGACAGATATTATCAAATCGACGTAGAATTTTATGCTCGTTATGAATACATATACTTTATTGGGTCTACGATGACTATTTAGGGATATTACAAACGGAATGACAAAGTTAATATAACCTCCTTTCCAAGGTATACCTCTCAAATGAAACCCCTTATATGGGGGCTATACGAAGACGTGGTCCTTCACAAGTATTTTTTTGTGATACCGATTCTGAACTTTAAATACGAAATTTGTAACATTTCCTGTGGCGATCTATACGAAGACCTGGACCAGCATGGGCAATTTTCTGCAGTACCGTTCCGGTGAATAATGTAGCTAAAATCATCAAAATACCGAATATAGGGGGTACCGATATATGGGGGCTATACGAAGACTTGGCTCTGTATAGACAATCTTACGTCACATGCTGTAGTATCCATTACGAAGGGCAAGAACGAAATTTGAAACAATTCCTGTAAATAATGTCGCTAAAATCATCAAAATACGGAATATAGGGAGGTACCGATGGTACCTGGACCTGTAAGAGAATTTTACGTCACAGACTGTAGTACCTATTAGGAACATTGAATACGAAATTTGAAACAATTCCGGTGAATAGTGCCGCTAATTTCATCAAAATACAGAATATCGAGGGATACCGTTACATGGAGGATAAAACTAAACGTGGACCATGTTCAATACCAAATGTCCTGCAGACCAAACACACATTTGTGTAAAATTTTTTTAACAACCTACTCCAATTCGTTCGTAAGCTAGAGTCATTTCCACAGACGGACAGACAGATAGATGGACGGAAATCGCTAAATCGACATAGAATTATATGTTGAGGGGTCTAAAATGTATATATCCACCATACTATGGTGAAGTGTATAAAAATGGGAAAATTCACAAAAAAATAGTGCATATCGTAATAATTTGGAAGAGGCCTTTGAAATTGGAGACTGAACACTGTGTTTTTAAAATGTTCAATCAATTGAGACTAAGTTTTGAGATGAACCTTTGTGTTTGACCAAGACGTCACTGACAAAAACTATTATTTTTTGTCTAGGTTTATGACTTTTTCGACGTACGTATGATGCATGGGAAAAGTATGTAATATACGTCAGAATTTCTGATAGACCATCTATGATGACTGATATTAGAGTCCAAGGATATTGGTGATATGATATGCCCTCCAATATGTTTAAAATAATTATAAATCGTATATAATGGGAGGTACGACCTATCCCCCCTTCCTGTACCTACCCATCAAAGTTTCAGGACAATTTAAATTTTAAGCTATACTTAGTGGCACTGGTCGATTTTTAATGGGATGAAGTTGCTAGACAAATTGCATGCCTAATTGTCAGTAATTTAATTTTTTGAAATTTGTATTTTCTCGATTGTTACGATTTCTAAGACAAGGATTTTTTTCTAGCCATTGTTCACAAATAAATAGATTTGTATGAAAGTTCGGTTGCTCCCACAATTGAGTTCTAAGACAGTACATGAAAAAACTGACAACTCAAATAAGTCCTTTCATTGGGCTGGTTATTTCAAATTCTTTCGATTTTCTTGATTCCGATTTCCAAACAAGAACAATTTGTTATTGCATTGTGTCATTTTCAATGCACACTTTTACTTCCCATCAATTAACCCCAAGTAATCTTAATGAGATTTAAGTTTCCTTGCCGTCCCTCTTCTCATTTTTGTTTTGTTTCGCTTTTTTGTTGTCTGTTCTTCGTTTTGTTTAAATATTATTTACAGGTAAACTCTTCATAGTTCTCTTCGCAGACATCACATTGCACCTGACAGCACCATTTAAACTGACAGCGACACTGGGTGGTGCGTCGGATTTGTTGGGTATTATAGCCACGCTCACAGCAGAGCAAATCACAGCTTTGAAAGCCATGCAAGGTGCGATTGCAGACACGACCCTGGGTGCCCAGAACGCCCTCCTGTAAATTGCGTTCACAGTAATTGGGCGATGTTTGCAGATAGACCAAATCCATGCGTTTGGGATAGTTCTTCACCTTGCCGGCACGATTTTTTCTAGGGAACGGAAATAACAACAAAGAAAAAATGAAAACGAAATTAGTCATAAACATTTGATGAGTGAAGCTTGCAATCACATTACATACTTGCTTAAAACTAGTTTCAGTCCATTTTTGCCTTTGGCGGCTTGAACAATTTTGGCTTTATTGTATTTCTTCATCAGAACATCGCCCACCACCCGAAACGAGGGTAAACTCTTCCAACAGGTCTTCATGACACAGGAGCCACTGACTCCGTGACATTTGCAATCTGTTTTTAGGAGATTTTTCACCAGCTAAAACAAGAACAAATATTTGTAAAATTTTTAAGTAGTATAGAATAGAAAGTCTTTTTACCCTCCTTCCTGCTCGATTATTGTGCAAATTCATGAGACTCCGAGCATCACCCTCAATTTCCCGGGCATCTAAGAATTTGCGGGCAAATTTCATGCCAAATTCGATATCCGCCGAACAGCCACCCCATTTCCATGGCTGTTGACCACCTCCACTGAGGCCACTCTCAAACTCCGCCTGTATACCCCGCCGCGTTGATGTGGGCTTATGTTGCACATCACAGCCACATAGTGTGATATTGCCACGCGCACATGCCGCCGTCACAGCATGAGCAGCCCCGGCACTTGCTATGGCATATGTGAAGGCAGCCTCACGAGATCCTGTTGGAAAATTTTGAATAAAAGATAAGAACTCTGTAGAAAATATCAGAAAAATAAAAAATCGACCGTAACTGAAGAGAGAAAAATTGCAAAGCTCGGCGGCCGAAGACTTTTTCTAAAAAAATTCGTCACTCAGCTTCTGGGTAGTCAAAAATTCTCAGTCCTGAGTAGAAGAAAAATGTTTTCTCACTACTCAGCTTCTGAGTGGACGAAATATTTTCTTCAGAAATTTCTCAGTAGCCGAAGGTTTTTTCTAAAAAAATCGACACTCAGCTACTGATAGTCAAAAATTCTCAGTCCTGAGTAGAAGAAAAATTTTCTCTCTCCACTTAGCTGCTGAGTGGACAAACAATTTTCTATAGAATATTCTCTCCCTCAGCTGCTGAAAAAATTTTCTATAGAAAATTTTCTCCCTCAGCTGCTGAAAAATTTTCTATGGAAATTTCTCTTCTTCTTCAGCTTCAGAATTGACAAACATTTTTCTATAGAAAATTCTCCCCATACTCAGTTGTTGAGTATACGAAAAATTTTCTATAGGAAATTCTCCCTACTCATCTGCTGAGTGGACGACACAATTTCTATTGACAATTCTTCCTCTACTCAGCTGCTGAGTAGACGAACAAATTTCTGTTGAAAATTTTAACTCCACTTAGCTGCTGAGTGGCGAAAAAAATTCTATAGAAAATTCTCTCCCTACTCAGCTGCTGAGTGGACGAAAAATTGTCTATAAAAAATTCTCCCTACTCAGCTGCTGAGAAGACGAACAAATTTCTGTTGAAAATTCTCTGTCCACTTAGCTGCCGAGTGGAAGAATTGTTTTCTATGGCAAATTCTCTCAAAACTCAGCTGTTGAGTAGACGAAACATTTCTGAGTAGTCAGAGAATTTTGAAATGAATATTCAAATTTTGTTAAACGATAATTCAAAAGAGAAAATCGATACTTACCAACAAACATAACATGCCCGAAGACATCCTTCTTCCACACTTCCGAACAATTCCAGCGATGCCCCCGAAATTGATACTGGCACTCATGGGCGCCCAATTGATGGCCCTCACCCAGGGCAATAAATGCATCCGGTGACTCAGAGCATAGCTGTCGCTGCTGGGGCGTTAGGCCAGGTATGCGGGCACACAAAAGTGATGATGTAAAACTGGATACTAATCTGACAAATAATTAATCGAAATCGAAAGCAATTCGTTAATAAGCGTTACAATAATGACATTATACTAGACAGTAACAAAAAAGCTATAAAAAATTACTACAAAAAAAAAAAAAAAAAAAAAAACAACTGCATTTCCGATTGACAAATCATCAATTGTTTCGATACGTCGCGTTTTTTGTTTGTTTCGTTATTGGGGAGATGCTATGATCCAACTATCAAACATCCCATCCACAAGATCAGATATGAAGCCACTGCTAAATATTGGTCTTCCATTGTATTTTCTAAATTCAATTCATTCGTTCGTTCGCTCGCTGGTCCGTTAGTGATAAATATGCCTTCAAATAATTAAAACCCACACACAAAGCCGCTAAACAATACTAGAGTCATATATTTAACGTTATTACGACTACCAGCTATATGTCTGCTCCAATAGTTTGTATTAGAGTTTTTTGTTGAATTTGTTTTATAGTTGTTGTTGTATTCCCTAACAATAAGAAACGGTTTCATGTTGAATAAGCACTGTGTTTCAAGCTCACCAAAAATATTGTATCAAACCGTTGAATATCAAATTGCAACCTATTCGGTTAAAATGTGGTTTGAGATGCCAATTTTTGGAGCTAGAGTTATACGAGGACAATCCGAACATCGAATTTTCGACCAATTAGTATTATAAAAGAGACTCTGAGCTCAAAAAGAAGCACAAAATAAGCCGGACTTATAAAATGGGCCAAATGTCAAGACATGAACCGATATAGAAAGTTTTTAATTGGCTGATTTGTTATTCATTGCAAATCCTAATATTCTTTTTAATTAGAAAATGTGGTTAAGATCTTAAGGCTAACTTATCATAAAAACCTTTCCTAATTTTTGATCTGCCTTGGAATTTGTTCAACATAACCAAATCAGAGCCACTTCTGGTGAAAATGCAGCTAAGAACTATAAAATTTCCAAATATAAGCTGGTCTCGCTTTCGGAGTCCATGTTAGCACGCTGACCCCTATCCAGTGTTTTTTGTAGGCGATTTGTATACCCTCCACCTTTGAAAAGAGGGTATATTAAATTTATCATTCCATCTGTAACATCCCTAAATATTTGTTGTAGACCCCATAAAGTATATATATTCACAATCAGCATAAAATTCTGTGTCGATTTAACGATGCTCGTCTATCTCTCTGTTGAAATCACGATACAACCCACATTATTTCCGCTTCAATTTGTATTGTATTGTATTTCCGAACAATTTGTATTGTACCTATGTTGGTTTATATTGAAAATGAGATATATGCTCCACGTTTTGTATTTGTAGGTCATAATGGGTTCTAGCGCCGGTGGTGAAACATAATTTGTATAGGTCCACGTTTTTGTATAGCCCCGATATAACGATATCCACCAATATTTGATATTTTGATGATTTTTGCCACATTTTTCCACCCAATGTTTAACTTAATGTTTTTTAATTGTTTATTTTAAGCTGCGTACATTCTATTTGTTGGAAATAGAGCCTTCGAAATACTTAAATCGCCTTTTATTGATAAATGTTGGTAGAAAAAAAAAAAAAAGAAGCGAGTTGGACAGGTTTGGCCTTTCGCCAGTTGAAAAGACGCAGTTGGGTTTGTGGATCTGTCGTGGAAGGTCGTCTTGTCTGCAGTGAAAATATTGCGGCTTGCGAATTGAATATCTTACTTTATTACCATTTATCGTAGATTGCATTAGCTTATACGGATGACTTAAACATGCCGTACATGTTATCTCCTAGACTTTCGAAGTAATTAGTGGACAAAGTATATTTAGTTGCAGTATTTTTTTCAATGGAACTCGACATTATGCTTTCCCGAGCTTACACATACTTAATGAGCTCTATGCCGACTGGAAGGTGCTATGATCAGAATGTTTAAGGTTAGACATTTTCGGATATATCGCTCGCACCTTGAGGAATTCCCTGTTCTTCGGGGTTTGGACTTCTATTTTCAGAGTTCTACGTATGATTGGCGTCCAGACATATAGTTTATTGTCAAATGTAAATTTTTTTGGACGGGTAGTAGTTCATTCGAAGTCTTCGAAAGGTCTGGTGTAATTGATATTATTAAATGCTATATTCTATTACATAATTTTCTGGTTGAGTTGGCGAATACTGATGGAACCAATGTCGAATAAACTGTGCGACAAAATTCAATTGTTTCAATAATTATAGAAAAATCCAGCATATTATCAAGGAATAGCTAAAAATGGAAAACACGTGAATCCGAGTTCTGAAATTTTACATCGTAGTTTCAGGTTCCCGGGCAGGTTCCCTATCGTTAATATTTCTTGAAATATTAGGGATAAGATTCCTCTGAATCTTTAGATTTTAACACTCAAAGCTTCTATGGAGGGCATATTAGCTTTGTCATTCCATTTGTAACTCTTCGAAATATTCATGATAGACTCTAGAGAGTATATATTTTCTGGATTAGCGTAAAATTCTAAAACGATTTAGCGATGTCCGTCCGTCTGTTGTAATCAGGCTTTCGAACGAATTGAGATAGAAGGCTAAACTTTTGCATACAATTTTTGTATTTTGCCAGTAGGCAGGTTATGTTCGCAAATGGGCCATGCTGTTCCACGTTTTCCTATAGCCCCCATATAACCGAACCTCTCGATATTCGGTGTTTTGATGATTTAAGCGACATTATTCACCCGAATTGTTTCAAAATTTCGTATTCGAAATTTGTAATGGGTACTACAGCCTTATGCAGGCCCACATCTTCGTATGGCTCTCGTATAAAGGTCATCATTTAAACGGTGTTTTTCGGAATTTTTTTCAAATATTTCAAGTTCCCTCCAAATAGTGGAGGGTATTAAAAAATCGGCCCATTAGCTGCTTTTTTACTTGTTTCTGTTGTATTCTTGCCACAAAATATACACACAACAGGTAAAAAAGTATAAGTTCGGCCGGGCCGAACTTTGAATACCCTCCACCATTTGGAACGAATTTTCCAAAACAATAAAATACGTTAAAAAAATCTGTTAAAATCTTTAAAATACCGAATGTAGCTGTTATTTTAGGGTTTATACGAGGACATGGACATGCATAGGTAACTTTTGTCATAAGCCAAATGGGAAACTAAAAAAATGGTGATTAATGTAGCTAAAACTATCAAAATACCGAATATCGGGAGGTACCGTTATATCGTGGCTACACCAAAAACGTGGACCTGCATGGACCATTTTCAATTCCAAAAGTCCTGTTGACATAATATACATTTGAGTAAAATTTTATCAATCTACTTTGTTCGTTCGGAAGCTAGAGTGATTTCCACAGACGGACAGATGGACGGACATCGCTAAATCGGCATAGAATTTTATGCTGATCAAGAATATATATATATATATATATATATATATATATATATATATATATATATATATATATATATATATATATATATATATATACTTTGTGGGGTCTAAAATGTATATTTCGAGGTGTTACAAACGGAATGACAAACTTAATATACCCTCCATACTATGGTGGAGGGTATAGAACAATGAACCAATTGGACTTTGTATGACGTCATACAAAAATCTTTATGCATAATTCTCCTCAAGAATATCACCGAAATGTAAAATTGTTGAGAACATCGGTGAATTAAAGTTGATGTCGCTTCACGCCCATCTTCTACCACAGCAGCAATATTCTCGGGTGTATGCACGGGTTTTGTCTTATTACACTTTGTTATATCTATGTGGATGTCTTTTTCCTCACTTTTTTTAGAAGATAATGAAAACATGGAGCCGACGGTGATCTTCTTCTTTTAAAATCCGTACACAATTTTCGCACACATGCTGCAACATTCAAATGATTTTCAAAGTAATGTCGCAATAATTCCTAGCGTTTCATATTTGTTCAGCGGAAGGATACCATTCGTGTTATAATCACTAGTTGAATGGCAGACCCTGTATATACTTTATGGGGTCTAAAAAGCTTATTTCGAGGATGACAAATTTAATACACCCTCCATAGTTTGAGTCTTGGAAACAATTAAGTCGAAATCAAGCCTTTTGTTTGCAATTTGCAAGTACTGTGATATTTCCAATGCGCATGTGCAACATATGATGGGTATGATATGTGTTGTTTTTGTTATTGTATGTTTTTTTTTTATTGCGCCCCCTAGTAATTGGACTTGGAGAGGCTTGTTTGTTGGTACTACGTTTGTTTCTTGCTTTGCAAATGGAAGGCGTTGTTGGTGGAGGTGGTGCTGGTGGTAAGTCATGAATTCATGAATGAACCAACGAACGAACGACCAAACCGCTGACTGGCGGCATTTATCTATAGTTGTTTCTTTTTTCTAAAAAAAAACACAAAAACGACAATGAATTGTTCTACAACAAAATGGTTGTTATTTTGTTAGCCGCCTTTTTTCTTCATCCGACACAACCAGCGATGTGTTTTAAGCATATTGTTGCTTTTGTTGTTGCCATTGTTGAGCAAACGTTTATTGTATTTGAACCGTGGCGTGGTAAGTTAACTCTCTAAAGATTAATGCGTTAACATGACGATTTCATGCTGTGTCAAAACGGCTACCTTAACCACAGAAGAAAATCTAACAATGGCATTAATGACAATACGAATGGGGAATGCCATGCTGAGGGAGAAAAACTACTCAGATGTCTTATTGATGGAATGCAAGGAATTTATGAATCTCTACATCAATGGGACTTCATATATGAGATTCTGCAGTTTGAACTTGTAACAGATGACATTTACTAATATTTCGAAGAAGGCGAATTCCAAGTTTTAACGTGAAAATTCATTTAATATAATTTCTACTTCTTAAGAGGATTTCAATCTTTCCATGTTTAAAATTCAGAATTCCATGGCATATCATTGTCCCAGTTTGTTTTTATACCCTCCACCATACATAGTATGTAGGGTATATTAAGTTCGTCATTCCGTTGTAACTCATCGAAATAATCATTTTAGACCCAACAAAGTATATACATTCTTGATCAGCGTAAAA